CAACCATCAAACCATCATCCAACATTCAACCACCATCCAACCATCCAACATTCAACCACCATCCAAGTACCATTCAACATCCATCCAACTATCAATCATCCATCCAACCATCAACCCATCATCTAACCATCATTCAACATCCATCAGCCACCCATCCATCCATCAACATCATCCATCCAGCCATCATCCAAACATTATTGATCACACAAACAATCATCTATGCATAATCCAACCATCATCCATCCATCCATCATCCAACCATTAATCATTCATCATTCATCTATTATCCACCAATCTATCACTCATCCATCTATCATTCATCCATTCATTATCCATCCATCCATCATTCATCATCTATCCATCATCCATCCATCCATCCAACATGGATGGTCATGGACCCAACAAGTCCAGGTCCTCCCAGACGTCTCGTAGGTTTTATGTCGTTTTAGTTGATTCCAGAAGTGGTTCCTAAACTCCTGCTGGGGTTTAGAGAAAAGAGTTGATGGATGTTTTATTGATACTCCTCAATGTTTCTGAAGAAACGTTTTCAAACTTTGAATATTTTGTTTTATTTCCGAGGACAGATCGCCCTAAAGAATAAAAGCTGACTTTAAACGTCATTTCTTCAGCTTTGCACTTGACTCCAGAAGCCGAGGAGTCAGAGTGAACGAGACGTGTCTCTGCCGGGTGATTTATCACCGAGAAGCGTTGCAGATTAATTCCAGCTCCAGGCAGAGCTGCTGCGCTCAGAGGGAGGAATCAGACAGAAGACAAACACTCGGTGTCTGTCAGCCGAACATCTCCTGCTTTAATAATGACAGGACTGCAGCGTCAGGCTACTCATTAACGCACGCCGTGTCAGGGAACCGGCCATTAGGACCGAGGAGCCGAGCTATATGAGGGTCTGAAGCTGCAGCCCGGCTCTGTTTGTGAGACGCTGCTGCAGGTAAAACATCTGAACTTTGTGCAGGAGGAGACTGGATCTTCTGTCTCGTTCTGATCTTCTCTAGTTTGACTCCGTGATGTGAAACTTCCTGTTTTAAATGTTTCTGAGTGCAGCTGCGTGTGTTTGGACCACAGCCTGAACCTGAAGCTCTGCTGGGATGAGGTGGTGGCTGCTGGGGGCCGCTCTGGGGCTGCTGGTTCTGATCGTCCCTGATGTCCAGGCCGGGAGGAGACCACGGGACCACGAGGGGGGGAGTCGCAGAGGAAAGAGGAAGAGGGACGGGAGGGGTGAGACTCTTCGTGTCTTCACTGAACTGAAAGGATTGTACTAAAGTTTGTAATTTACACATTTGTTCACCAAAAACACAAGAGATGATCCTGGTCTGACCCTGGTCTGCAGGTCTCGGACGGACCAGAGAGGGGCGCTCCAGACCTCTGAAGATCCGTCTAGTTCCTGGTCCAATTATCCCGGAGAAACCAGGTCCAAACTTTGGGAACACCGGGTTCCTGAACCTTTACAGGAACGTCCAGGAACAGCAGTCCAGCTACAGCGTCATTCCAGGTCAGTGTGAACAGGAAGCAGATTCAGAACCGATGTGAAACTAGTTTCAGCAGTTTCATAAAACACATTTATTTAAACTCTTTATCAACTCTTCTGAAGCCGTTTGATGCTTCATCTTTCATTATTACTCGCTGTCATGAAAGATGGGCGATCATGTAACTGCGTGTGTTCGTTTGTCTGTCTGTTAGTAAAATATCACATGAACCACTGAGCTGATGAAACTTTCAGGAAGTAATCTTTGGATGTACAAAAACATCTAGAACTGATAACCTTCATCAAGATGGCCGCCACAGCTAATAAACCGCAGCCAACACAAAAAGTCTTTTAGTAAATTTAACGAGCTAAAATCTGAAGTGGAGGTTGTGGAGCATCATCCCTGAGACGCACGCTGAGCTCTAACAGGGGACGTGACATCTTTGAAACCTGGAAGGTGGCGAGTGATATGCATTCCTTTGACATTTAACAGCTGGACGTCTCACAGGAAACGCCGACAGTCTTTAAACCGATAAACGACTAACGCAACTACAGAACCACTGACAGCTGAAGGACAGCCGAAGAGGCTAAACTGGAAGTGTTTAGGTCAAAAGAAGCAAGACTAAAAGTTAAAAATAAAAAAATGCTACCTAAATGCTAAATGTAGCCAAAGGCTAGCTAAAAGCTTCATGTATCAAAATGCTAGCTACATGCTACATGTAACAAATGCTAACTAAAAGCTAAATGTACCAAAACACTAGCTGTAAGCTAAATGTACCAAAATGTTAGCTGTAAGCTAAATGTACCAAAATGTTAGCTGTAAGCTAAATGTA